AGGACGGGTGCCGAGCGAGTCACCATCGGAGAACAGAAAGAAGACAGGAAAGAAAGAAAACAAAAAGAGATCCCGAGTGTTGCAATGGGGGCAGCTGATCTGTTTTGGTCTCATCCACGCTCTCTTGGCAGATGACACGGAGGATAAACTCCGATTATGCAGGGGGCTCCAAATACGTCGCCTTTTACGATTAAAATACGGTGGTACAAAGTAGCCCTATTATTAGTTTCCTCAATGTCCTCTGAACATAAGACAAGGAAGGAATTACCCAAGATTCTTGAGGGCATCACATCTTACGAGTATGCAGTGGGTACAGCAGACCTATTTTCCCCCGAAGCTGAACAGGTTGTAACGATGCCACCTTTTTTAATGATTTCTGTTTTATTTTTAGAACTTCATGTATATGCTTTGAACGAATTGAAAACTGGACACATCCGGTCGTTCAGACTTGTTTCTTTTCCCATTTTGTAAATATATATTTTGTGATTTTGATAGTTTTGTTTCTATATATAAATTAAACGTCCACGTCCCTGCATCATGATAGTATACTAAGGACATATGTACGAGTAAAAATGGTATTTCCAGCTGAGTGGGTCAAGGACGGCTCACCGCGAGAGAATCGTGACAGACATCTTCCGTAACATACATGCATACTGTTGTACAACATACATATGTTACTGATCATGTTGGCAGGTCTGATGTTAACTAGGGGTTTCTATTGCATTTTTACGCGGGAATCAGCTGATCATAAACGGGAAGAATGTTGAAAACCACGTTATTTTTTGAAGGTAGGAATTTTAGAATGCTGCAATATACCGCACTAGTTTTGAGTTGGGAAAATGCAAATATTACATTCTAACGACATTGAACGCGTGAGAGAAAGTACTGTGTCGTATCATTTCACCTCGTCACACGTAGAATCGCTATGCATGGCTACATAGTACCGCAATGATCTTAGTCTGACAATATTTTACATATATGGGTACATAAATCAGATCGAAGTTACAGTCTTGTCCTTTTTTCATTCCTTTTTAATTGTTATTGTCTGTGGTTAACACTTGATAGATATTTGTTATTGAATTCCTTCAGTTTTTAAAGGAAACCTGCACTGAGCTACCGTAACGCCTCCACCAGAAATGTCTTACTGCATGTTGTCAATAATCATTATCCGATACATGTTTTCGGTTGTTCCTGACGACGACTAAACTGGATAGTAGTATGCAAACCTGCTGCGTACGCTCGACGCACAAAATGCGGGAGCTAGTTAATTACTTCGCAAGTCGAGTAACGTCCCTTCGTACCTCTTTCTCAGACAAAGGTAGAAAAGTGCAGATATTGAGTGAGAAAAGATATTGAGTGAAATGCTTTTGAGAATTTAACCGAGACCACAGGATAAGCAAGTCTTTTTAAATGGCTTCTGGTGCTGCGGGTCCACGAAGGAATTGTGGAGTTTTAAGTACAAGCATTAAACATATTTATTGATGTTGACAAAACAATTATTTATAGATATGGAGCCAACGGAAAATATTACTATATTGTAACTCCTGACGCCATGTTGAAAGCAAGTATATGCGAATTACAATAAAGTGTGTTTTGTATGAAAGTTCAAATCTGCAAATTGATTTTAATGTTGTTTTCTGTATTCCTTCCAGAGTGCTTGTTCAGCTAATACGGATTGTCAAGATTGTGCCTCAATCCCTATTCGCACTGTTGTCTTAATTCCAAGATAGATCAAACGTAAGGGTAAGTCCACTGGTTCGATATTCAATGGTTCTGATTAAACAGTATGTGCAACATGTCACTTGACAAGACACCATTGATCACGATGGACCAACCTCTATACACACTAAGCTCGTTCAGTGGAACTGCCCTGTGAATTATAGAAAAGACAAGTTTCTTTTGCGGACTTTATATGGAAATAGCCGGGTTCGAAATCATTTGAAGGTGGCTAAACTATCCTGGCTGGGTTGAAGCATTCCTACAAGCAAATGTGGCTTCTTTACAAACGCCAAAATCATTTTTGAGGCCTCGAACGTTACCGCCAGATATACCCCATCGAATTCCTGCCGACAGTTTACAGATCGTGCTTCAAAAGGTCCGTGCATAATGATATGAAGATTGTTTAGAACATGAACAAAAAAGAATGGGGTAGGCAATGCGAGCGGGAAATTCCGTTTCTGGTTCATGGTTCTTTAACTTGAGTTGCTTCCCTTGACATTTATGAGATTGTTAAATATTGGTTATTTCCCCTGTTCTTAGACAGCCTTATAAAACTTCATCAGTCTAGAGCACACTAGCTAGTTACCTGTTTATTTAAGGGACATTGTTTACCTGAGTAAAATCCATCCAGACATTTAATATGAGTTCAACATTGGCAATTTCATAGTGCACAGAAACTAAAATGACATTTTCAGCTATTGCAATCGATCAGGCCTAAAAACCAAAATAATACCATTTACATGTCGTGTTTATCCAAATTTCGGGCAAGTGATGGGAAACAAGACTCCACCTTGATGTAAGTATGTGTTTAAAAATATCTATCATTACTATAAGATGTATCCAAAATATATAATCAATGATACATGTATCCAGAATACATAATCACTGATATCTAGAATACGTAATCACTGATATCTAGAATACATAATCACTGATATCTAGAATACATAATCACTGATATCTAGAATACATAATCGCTGATATCTAGAATACGTAATCAATGATACATGTATCCAGAATACATAATCACTGATGTCTAGAATACGTAATCACTGATATCTAGAATACATAATCACTGATATCTAGTATACATAATCACTGATATCTAGAATACATAATTAATAATACATGTATCCAGAATACATAATCACTGATATCTAGAATACGTAATCACTGATATCTAGAATACATAATCACTGATACATGTATCCAGAATACATAATCACTGATATATAGAATACATAATCAATTGTAAATGTATCCAAAATACATAATCACTGATATCTAGAATACATAATCAATTGTAAATGTATCAAAAATACATAATCACTGATATATAGAATACATAATCAATTGTAAATGTATCCAAAATACATAATCACTGATATCTAGAATACATAATCAATTGTAAATGTATCTAAAATACATAATCACTGATATCTAGAATACGTAATCAATGATACATGTATCCAGAATACATAATCACTGATATCTAGAATTTATAATCACTGATATCGTATCTAGAATACATAATCAATGATACATGTATCCAGAATACATAATCACTGATATATAGAATACATAACCAATTGTAAATGTATCCAGAATACATAATCACTGATATATAGAATACATAATCAATTGTAAATGTATCAAGAATACATAATCACTGATATCTAGAATACGTAATCAATGATACATGTATCCAGAATACATAATCACTGATATCTAGAATACATAATCAGTTGTAAATGTATCCAGAATACATAATCACTGATATCCAGAATACGTAATTATTGATCGATTTATCCAGTATATGTAATCAATGATAGATTTATCATATATTATATAATCAATAAGGTCCACTATCCAAAATACATGAAACCACTTATACATTTATTTAGAAAACATAATTAGTCATGTGTCTTCTTCCTAGAAACCACCACCACCACACACATAAGTATATGGGATGGGTCATGTTAACCTCATACATTGACTGCGTTGTTTCAATGCAAATCTCCGTCCACGTGACAGTTAACGACCAGATTCCATGTTTCTACATTTATCACGCATTTATTTGTCACCGAACAAAGTCTATGTTCGTGATTGAGAACTACTTGTCCGAGCTTCTAAAGCTTTTTATAGCTTAAGGAATTTCATTCAGTTGAAGAAAGTTCGTGAAACTGCGCCTCGGCTCAATTGTGTCCTGGAATACGGAAAACCAAATAAACAAACGATACTACGGTTTAGGAAGCCCTGCACAACCTTCCCAATTATTTTTATTCCAGGAGAACCAGCTTAAGTTATGATTTAATGGTACGCACGTGTCTCTCTCGCATTCCTTTTCGGAACCGATATGCATGACCCCCTCCTAATCTGTTCTAAAAAAAAATCCTTATCAGTTCTATTCAATTCTGATTTGGTTTACCGGCTTGCTTGTTCCGATTAATCTATAACTATGCTAGACAGGTTTACAGCCACATCAGACAGGTCAAGGGAAATCTACAGATCCTTTTATTCCTGGGATTTTGTAACACGTTTTTAATTAAGCATTAAACTGCTTTCATATGCGTTTCGGAGGCATTATGAATGCCCACTGAATTACAAGAAAAACGACATTAATCGCCATAATGAAACGAAAAAAAAGGAACGGGGAAAACGGAACGGGAAACGGAACAGAAAAAACGGAACGGGAAACGGAACGGAAAACGGAACGTACCGTGCATTTAGTGAGAGTTTGCTTCTTACTTAACAGCATTGATCTTCGGCATGGCTAAAGGCAAGATTCATTGTTATTTTTGAAAATATAATTGCCGCCTCCGAGCAATAGAGTATGGGAAAATTTTGAGAGAATTAAATATGACTTCCATGGTTACATAGTGGCATAGTCAACTTATCGGCCAAATATTCCAAACGATAGCGAAACGCGACTTCTATATTGTTTGTTCGCTTTTTTGGGTCACGTTTGTATTACTTCTCACTTCGGTTCATAGTCTGATGACCCAAAACGAAATTTACTTTGTTTTTATAGTGACATTGCATCGCAAATGCGAATATTGGCATATTTACGACAACAATGTGTATCACGCACCTGCTTGCGACAGGTAGCTACATGTATATATGATCTGATCTCTTATCCTATCTTTCCTGTTCTATCTTTACTTTTATTTCTATCATATAACTCTATTATAACTATCGACTGAATCATAATTTACCAAGAAATCTGTTCTCCTTATACTGTCCTTTAATTATTGTTATAAATACGAAATATGTTCACCAACCTGTTTGTTGTGGGTCCCCCATGCTGAGTCTTGGAAAGGTGTGTTGAGCGATATCGTCTGGAAACCTTCGTTTGGGTAGTTAATGCGTTGTGTCTAAAGCGTTTGTTTTTCTATTTATTTTATAGGTTTAAGTTATAAACGCTAAGTGTATGTATGGTCACAGACAGCATTCGATATGCAAATTCTAAACTGAACAGATAGTTAAACAGGTTGTGTTTACGGCGAGACAAACCAATTGAGAATAATATTATCAGCATTGCTGTAATTCCTCTTCGCCTCTTTTTTAAAACTGACCTTCTTTTCTCACTGGGAGTAAATATCAGAGAAATTACAAGACAACGCGAAGAAGTTAACAGTAATTCGAGTTTATTCACATATTCGTTGCACACTATCTAGAACTGGATCAAGAAGTTTGTGTTGGCCATCTATGAACTAATATTTGGAATGAATAAGAATCGGCTTGACATATAACGAGACTTGACGTCAGCCAAGACGTGACACCAGACGAACAAATTGATAGCATGCAAGACCAGACTTCTCGTAAGACGAGAATTGACATACAAAAAGATCGGACTTTACATAAGACCAAACCTATCATTAGAAGAGACAAATACGAGACGAAATTCGACACAAGACGTGATCTGTCATCAAGCACGACCAGACTTGACATAAGAGGATCCTTGCCGGAAGACGAAACTTGACATAAGACGAGCTTTTATGTAAACAAGACGAGAAACTCGACGTACATGTAAGATGAGATTTGACATAAGACGTAATTTTCGTTAAGACAAGACGGGAAACTCGACGTAAGATGAGATTTGACACTATAAGAGGTGATTTTCGATAAGACAAGACGGGTAACTCGACATGAGAGGATTTGACATAAGACGTAATTTTCGTTAAGAGATTTGACATGAGACGGATTTAACATGACCTTTTGATTTTGCTCCCGCGAATACACTGTACACATTTATATCAAACGTACAAAGGAAGTATATTATAATGTAAGTTTTGACTTGCAACTTATGTCATTTTAGATCTGAATAGCATAAGATACATTAAGTTATTAAATGTATCTTAAATATTTAACTTATAAAAGTAATATTGGCTATTTCCCTTTATTTATTCATGCATTTTACATTTATTCATTGAAATTTGAGTTCTGAGATATGAGAGCAATTATGCATTTGTGTTTGCTGTTTTCGAGGTATGACAAGTTATTCAGATGAAATCGATTTTACTACGCCAATCTTTTCTTTATTTTTTCAAATTGCTTGCATTGAATTTCTATTTCTGTGAATGATTTAACATGTTTTTTGCAAATTATTCCACGGAAAAATATGAAAATATTGTGGAATAAAACACCAATGAACTCTCATTCAGTGTCAATTTCATTTCAGTGGCACAATGATGGGGCATTTAATTTTATATTTAACTGCTCTCCTCCCAGAACTTCATAACGTAACAAGCGAATTGTTGCTGCCACACGACTTTTGACGGGTCACGTGATATATGGGCAGTGTCGTAGAATATATGTATGCTGGTATGAAATTGTTTTCCTATTTATTTTATAGGTTTAAGTTATAAGCGCTAAGTGTATGTATGGTCACAGACTGCATTCGATATGCAAATTCTAAACTGAACAGATAGTTAAACAGGTTTTGTTTACTACGAGACAAACCAATTGAGAATAATACTGTCAGCATTGCTGTAATTCCTCTTAGTCTGTTTTTGAGACCTGCTTTTCTCACTGGGAGTAAATATCAGAGAAATTACAAGACAACGCGAAGAAGTTAACAGTAATTCGAGTTTATTCACATATTCGTTAAACACTATCTAGAACTGGATCAAGAAGTTTGTGTTGGCCATCTATGAACTAATATTTGGAATGAATAAGAATCGGCTTGACATATAACGAGACTTGACTTAAGCCAAGACGTGACACCAGACGAAAAAAATGATAACATGCAAGACCAGACTTCTCGTAAGACGAGAATTGACATCCAACAAGATCGGACTTTACATAAGACCAAACCTATCATTAGAAGAGACAAATACAAGTCGAAATTCGACACAAAACGTGATCTGTCATCAAGCACGACCAGACTTCACATAGGATTTTGCTCCCGCGAATACACTGTACACATTTATATCAAACGTACAAAAGAAATAATGTAAGTTTTGACTTGTAACTGATGTCAATTTAGATCTGAGTAGCATACACAGTTAGTTATTTAATGTATCTTAAATATTTAACTTATAAAAATAATATTGGCGATTTCCCTTTATTTATTCGTGCATTTTACCTTTTTTATTGAAATTTGAGATCTGAGATCTGAGCGCATATTATACATTTGTGTTGGCTGTTCTCCTCCCAGAACTTCTTAACGTACCATGTATGACAATCAAATGTTTGCTGCCACAAGACTTTTGACTGGTCACGTGATATATGGGCAGTGGGGTAGCATATATGTATGCTGGTATGAAATTTTCAAAAACAAAAATTAATCATATATTTTTATTAATTTCTTTTTTTCTTAGATTGTAAAAAGGAGAAAATAATTCAAATTCTTCTTGAAAATTTTAGTATGATAAAATGGTTTTGTTTATAATGGCTAATCACATTAAAAAATCTCGAAGGTTTATGTAAATCAAAAATTCCATAGTGAAGTACAAAATCAAATATTATTCATATTTACTTGTGTAAAATTAGAATAAAAGGATTTCCCAGAATACGAAAGATTGCTTTAGGGCATAGAAGATTTTTTTTTCAGCTCCCATACCATCACCCCCCTCCGGTTTAACATGAAAAAGTGACCTGTGTAGAAAACTTAGCGGTGCTACGCGCATCGGACGCAAGCCCCTGTAAGCATACACTGGTCACATGCGATTCGATGTACATTATGTAATCGAACGAACCTAATTTTCACTTAGGGACGAGGCGGTAAACAGTTCGTTTGGTGGATCTCAACTCCTTAGGAAAGTAGTTTTGACTGTTGACTGTAAGGCATGGCACGACTGTAAATTGTTTATGGTGCGGTGTGACTTGAGTGATACCAGTCTGACTAAATCATATGATAGTCCCCGTTTTAACGTTACAGTTAGTGTCTGTATGACAAGGCATCGATAGCTACTTCCGATATACCTCAGTGACAAAATTTAAATTCTCAAAATGAATTCTTATATGTGAACTTTATTACATATCTCTCAATAGGTACAACATTGAGAGCAGAACACTAGCTGACCGAGAACAGAACGAGATTTGACACAAATACTACGTTCATTTGCTTAAATTGTTAACACAAAAAAGCAATGAATTATATTTCGGTCAACATTTGCAATATGATTTATGAAGATTTACACGAAATCCCTCCTACAAAAATATCGTTAGGGCATATTTAATGTTCCCGTGATGCCATTTTATTTTTTGGATTTGATCCACACTAGTTTCACCGATATAACTTTCTAACTACAAGTTGTTTACACTTCAGTATTCATTGTTGTTCGGTTGTCGATGCTTTACATATAGTTTCGTGTTACACTTCAATATCTATATAAAAGGCACGTGCACGTTTCATCAGGAACACCTATCATTTGAGTTTCGTCCTATCGCGATAAAACATATCATTGCATGCCGAAGTACGGCGTATTGAAACTTAGCATATTTGGTATTTGGTAATCGCAACGGAACTAATTATTAAATCATGATTCGGTATCGTTTGGTAAGAATTTATTGAATGTAATTAATCATACATTAAAGCGCAGAAACTTATCAAACAGTTCTTGCACATATTTGATGAAAATGAAGGGTTGGTCAAAAGCATGGCATTCATGTCGATTTTCATTTCACTTAATGTAAGCAAGTATATATGTACACTGTATGACGTATGCGTAGTGGCGGAGAACACTTTCCTCTCTGCGGTCACGTCTACTTGTTGAACATGAACTCAATATGTGGTCTTCAAATGATTGCATAGTCAATCTTTATGCGAGGAAAATATAACCCGTTTTTGGATAGTTGTCTTTATTACAAAACACGAAATATAACGATATTTAGCTTTAGTTGTCATGACAGACTTACAATATACTGATAGCGTGCTCTAGTGTTCATTTACGACATATCCACGGCATACCCTTCAAAAACCTTTTAAATTTGCACAAATATAACTGGCTAAAATGGATTGAGGGAAAGCTTTGGGTAAATGTTATTTCTACATTCTTATTTATGTAACACCAAACACTGGCAGGTTGAGTTGGAGTTTTAGCGCATTCACATAACCAGTATAATGGCAGACCTCCCCTTGAACTTATATTCTCCGTGTTTAACAGGTGAGCACGCTATCAATTTATTCATTAAAACGTTTCTATGCTAATGCAGCACACCACATAATAATAGTTTAACATTTAAACATGTCTGTTTTTTTACAAGTTAAAAAATGTACACTACTTTGATGAATAAATCTATTTGTTTATTACATTCTCAAACCAGAGTCAACTGTCCGGCCGTCGTTCATCACTATATGGGCAACCAAGGTCAGCAATCAGTCATCACAATACGGTCAACAAGGGTCAATAGTTAATAATCCAAATACAGTCAACAAGGGTCAATAGTCCATAAGCACAAAACGGTCAACAAGGGTCAATAGCCCGTTATCACAATACGGTCAACAAGGGTCAATAGTCAATAATCCAAATACAGTCAACAAGGGACAATAGTCCATCAGCACAAAAAGGTCCAGCAGGATCAACAGTCCGTTATCACAATACGGTCAAACAGGGTCAACAGTCAGTCATGTCATCAAAATACGGTCAACAAGGGTCAATAGTACATCATCACAATAAGGTCAAGCAGGGTCAACAGTCCGTCATGTCAACCCAATACGGTCAACAAGGGACAACTCTGCGTTATGTCATCAAAATACGGTTAACAAGGGTCAATAGTCCATCAGCACAAAAAGGTCCAGCAGGATCAACAGTCCGGTATCACAATACGGTCAACAAGGGTCAATAGTCAATCGTCACAATAAGGTCTAGCAGGATCAACAGTCCGTTATCAAAATACGGTCAACAAGGGTCAATAGTCAATCGTCACAATAAGGTCTAGCAGGATCAACAGTCCGTTATCACAATACGGTCAAACAGGGTCAACAGTCCGTCATGTCATCAAAATACGGTCAACAATGGTCAATAGTACATCATTATCACAATACGGTCAAGCAGGGTCAACAGTCCGTCATGTCAACCCAATAGGTCAACAAGGGACAACTGTGCGTCATGTCATCAAAATACGTTCAACAAGGGTCAATAGTACATCATTATCACAATACGGTCAAGCAGGGTCAACAGTCCGTCATGTCAACCCAATATGGACAACAAGGGTCAAATGTCCGTCATGTCAACCCAATATGGACAACAAGGGTCAATAGTACATCATTATCACAATACGGTCAAGTAGGGTCAACAGTCCGTCATGTCATCACAATATGGACAACAAGGGTCAATAGTACAGCATCACAATAAGATCTAGCAAGGTCAAAAGTCTGTCATGTCATCACAATACGGTCAACAAGGGACAACTGTGCGTCATGTCATCAAAATACGGTCAACAAGGGTCAATAGTACATCATTATCACCATAAGATCTAGCAAGGTCAAAGTCCGTCATGTCATCACAATACGGTCAACAAGGGACAACTGTGCGTCATGTCATCAAAATACGGTCAACAAGGGTCAATAATACATCATTATCACAATACGGTCAAGCAGGGTCAACAGTCCGTCATGTCAACCCAATATGGACAACAAGGGTCAAATGTCCGTCATGACAACCCAATATGGACAACAAGGGTCAATAGTACATCATTATAACAATACGGTCAAGCAGGGACAAACAGTCCGTCATGTCATCACAATATGGACAACAAGGGTCAATAGTACAGCATCACAATAAGATCTAGCAAGGTCAACAGTCCGTCGTGTCATCACAATATGGACAACAAGGGTCAAAAGTACAGCATCATAATAAGATCTAGCAAGGTCAACAGTCCGTCATGTCATCACAATATGGACAACAAGGGTCAATAGTTATTCAGTACATGGCGACAATTTGACAGAGGGCTAGTGATCGTAGGCGGTTAAACACAGTACAGCATCACAATAAGGTCTAGCAGGGTCAACAGTCCGTCATGTCATCACAATACGGTAAACAAGGGTCAATAGTACATCATTATCACAATAATGTCTAGCAGGGTCAACAGTATGTCTTCACAGCATTTGCATTCAGGGTCAACAGTTACTCATCAGAGTTGGGTCAACCAGTCACCAGTCACCAGTCAACCAGTCACCAGTCACCAGTCAACCAGTCACCAGTCACCAGTCAACCAGTCACCAGTCAGTCTTCACCTATTATAAACATAACTTCCTTTTGTAATTTGCAGTATATCGTTGATCGTATTGTCTATTTCAGCAGAAATTAAGTAACAAATCGCCATTGTTATGGATGCGTCATTATCGGGTGATTATGTAGTAATGATTCCCATGGCATTTCCGTCCTGTATTCATGCATAGTATCACGTTATTCTAGTGTGTTGACGTTGTGGTACGTACAAATATTGTAATTTGTGATCGGCACAAAGAAGATTTGTGAGTATGTCCGATCATTTTTAGGTGAATGCTACTGCATATTGATGATCTTCCAAAATAAAATAGGGTGAACTATTCAATACCTTAGCAACCTGCTATTAGTGTGTTTCTTCCACTTAAACCAAATTTCACTTTTTTAAACAACAAAGTCAACATACGTGCATTTTACCAGCTCCAAAATACAACATGACACAACCTTTGTTTTGATAAAACATCATTTTTCTACATATATTTCATAAAACAATACCCGAGTCGTGCACTGATGATGAAGGGTGCATAAATAAGTCACGCTCTCGTCCGAACATGATGTATGCTCTCATCGTACCAGAAGACCAAGCGTCTAAGAATAGTAGCAATAAAGCCCTCAGTTTACATATAGTAAACATTTCCAGTGTCCTTTTATGTGTAAAAGTCCCTATATGGTGGCGCCCTTCACAATAACACTGAAGTGGACAGTCAATACAAATAGTCTCCATCAACTCATGTTGACCGGTCAATGTCCAAAAATTAAGCTTGTAAAACGATGAAGAAGTGTACGTGATAAGAATGACAAGGTTTACTGTCTAGTAATATAGTTCACATACATATCAATTGTTTCATTCATAGTTTAGAGACCGTTTCGCCATTGATTTGTGATGTGACCGTATCCTCATCGTTGGTAAATGCGGTATTAATGGTTGCCAATATAGTTACGTCCTCTTTCTTGGCTTTGTAAGCAGGCCTGAAATATATAAAAAAATAAACGCAGCAAGATCATTTCACCTATTTCCCTATAAATACGAAAAACATGTGATGGAATGGGAAGGTTCCGGTTATCTTCATCTCATGGCATGATTTTTTGCTATTTGATCAAGATATTGAAAATATGTGAAATTTACTTACGTTCCAAACAAAATGCCGTCTTCGATAGTTTCTGGTAGATCCTGATTCAGTGTTTCCGGTAAATGCAAAGCGAGAACGCCAGCCACAATTGTTGCTACTCCGAACACGACCAAGGGAAAAGCTTTGCCCAATTTCCCTCCGATGCGATCTCCCTATTGGTGAACAGGTAAAGATGATAGTGCCAGCTGCCTCGATTTATATTATCTCAACAACATATATTCATGTAAAGACAAATGTTCCTATACAATTTTCAAATCTATACATATATTGACTTGCAATCATTCAATTGTAGTAATATCTAATAATTAAATACCTAAATCACACCCGTTTCCATTAATTAAATACCTACATCACACCCGTTTCCATTAATTAAATACCTACATCACACCCGTGTTCATTAATTAAATACCTAAATCACCCCCGTTTCCATTAATTAAATACCTAAATCACACCCGATTCCATTAATTAAATATCTCTTCAATCGCTTACTGTTGTGAACTTACCGAATCAGCAATAAATGGAGCTGCAATGGCCCCCAATCTCGCAATACAAGAACTTGCCCCCATCCCAGCGTTACGCACAACGGTTGGGAAAAGCTCTGCAGAGTACATATAAATGATGGCGAAGGCAGCCGCAGCCCCAAGTTTTCCCAGCATGGCCAGGGCCGTTGTTAGAGGCTGGTACCCTGAAAATATGACATATTCTATTCCTGTTTATTTACAAATATTAATACCAAACTTGTTTTTTGAATTATTTGAGAAACTTTTTAATTCCGACATCAAATATTTTATTAGCGATATGATATAAACACGCCCTAATATAATGTTTTAAAATAAGCCCATGTAAGATTGTAGGATTCAAAAATTATTAATTACAGTTCCGTAAAGACAGATTTCAAAGAAACACTTTACTCACGTTCATCTAAAAACAGAATAGGGAATATGGTGGAGAGACAGAACATCCCTCCCATGATCATACTGATGCAGTGTAACCGTTTCCTCCCCACCCTGTCCACTAGTAGTAAGACCAGGGTGTAGGCTGGGAACTCCACCAGGCCAGACAGGAAGAAGTTCAGGTAAAAGTTCCCTCCCAGGTTACCGGAGTTGAGAGACAGTCCATAGTAGGCCATTGTCACCATACACCTATAGGGGGTGAGGATTAGTGTGTGTATTGCTATGCTGGTTTGGTTATTATAAGTGCTCGTGTTTGTACGACTGGTTAACTAAAGTGTAGTGATGGGTAGGTAGGTAACCAGCTTCAGCAATTCCAAAATGTTCATGTTGCTTTCAATATATTACATTCAATATTTCATTTTGTGTTCACATATGAAACAAATGTCATCTATTTATGATTTTAAACCAACAACATATTTTTTGCTGACGATTTTGTTTAACACATGATAATCATAAAGCGATATATATATAGCACCAATATTTAACCTTTGGTTCGGTTTAATTTGTTTAACGTCCTATTCACAGCTAAGGTGATTTAAGGGCGTGCCTCCATGTTTGTAGTGTCTGCGTGTCTGCGTGTGTGTATGCAGGAGACAGGGTATGTTGGTGTGCTTGCCCCCTTGTGATAGCGCGGATCTGATGCCGACTTTATTTAACCTTTGATAACTAAACACTTATGCATAGCTCTAAATGTCTAAAGTACTCTTGGAGGACTTGCCTTATTCTACATGTACTTACCAGTTAATGAAAATTACTAAAGTTCGTAATAATAGAACCCTTGAAGTGAATAGCTGCCAGATTTTCCCGTCTTTTGGTGTATCATCGTCCTTTCCTTTGTCCGAAGTTTGTAGTAAATCATCGGGTAAAACAACGTTGTTGATCCTGGCTGCCTTTTGTAGGACGATCGTAGCCTCTTCGTATCTATGTTTTAAAATTAGCCATCTTGGCGACTCTGGTAACAGCCTGTGTGTAATAAACAAAATAAACGCTACAAAAGGCAATTTACAACCCTGCTATGACAAAATGTTAAATAGAAAACATTAGCTGTAATAGCTTGAATCACAGCACAAAATATACATTACAACATGAGAAATGGTGACGAATATACGTCAATATAGCAGTAAATATATCCTATCATAAACACCCAAAGAAGACAATGTCATGTCTAATGCTTCAGTCACATTTGCGCCGGCTGCCGGCCGGGAAGTAGGAATCGGCCAGCTTCGGGACGCCGGGGACTTTTTTCCGATGTCTGGGATTTGCCGTGAGTATTATTATTATTATTTCTTAATTTCCTCCAAATTGAAGAGTTACAAAAATGTACAGTGTAGCCAAAATACAAATCAAATATTATTAATTGATACTTAAATGCACATGAATAAATCAGTTAACTACAAAGATGAAGAGAGAAGTTAATGAATCTTGAATTAGTTTAGGAAACACAGAAAGAATGGTCTCGTTAACAGCAAATCATACAAAATAATTAGAATGCCTGGGAATCCTGAGGTTTCCAAGGGTTGGGGAAAGCCCTACAAGCAAGGTCCTCTCAGGCTTACCCACACATAAACACACACAAAATAAGAGAAAAAATAGTAATTAGGTAGACATTGCTATTGTACGTACATTTGAACGTGTTATTTCATTATTAACTCTGATACAACAGCAACATTTTGTCAATAAAAATAGCACTATGCAGTACAAAGGTTACAAAATCAGTTGAGCTTAATATGTGGGGAAGGCTACCCCCAAGTAATACATGAATCAAATCATAATCAGACAAAGAGTATAAGAACACGCTAAGTTCTATATCAAAAGCCGTACTTATAAGACACTATAGGATCGTCTCTAAGACTTTCAGTTTTTGTACAATGGAGTACTATATGTGTTATACGGTCATTATGTAAAATACTACAAAAATGGCATAATTCAATAATATTTGTTGATCTTAAATTAGCACATAATCGAACTATATTGTTTATCTTGCTTAGATGTTCAGGGAATTTTAATGCTACTGTCCATAAAATATGTGGAGAAATTACATCATGAATGAGCAAAAATCTTGTGAAATCTGAATCGTTGTTCATTCTATCGTACATCATTAATTTCGGCCGGGAAGTAGGAATCGGCCGGCTTCGGGACGCCGGGGACTTTTTCCGATGTCTGGGATTTGCCGTGAGTATGGTCACATTAGATAGGGGCACCGCACGGCCCCAGCAAACAATTTGCCGGATTAAATCGAACGGACATCTGAAGTGAAGGATACCGTAGGGAGTCCGAACATTACAATGTAAGAATATCGCAAGGATACAGCAAGGCTATCTCACGATGGCCGACTGTCGTGCGGTAGCTGGAAGATGTTCTTGTGACGGGCGGGACACGTACGATATACAGGGAAGTACACAATTAAACACCAAAACGACCGTACGATGCCACCGGGGGCCGTAAGATAATCTTACCAAATCTTTGCGGGACACTTACGGGAGACTGCCGGGTACGTAGGTTCGGTCAGAAAAAATCGGGGGGACACCGGCAACTTTTATTTCCGCGCTAAAAGCTACCGGCGAACCGTGCGGCGTCTAAATATCGACCGATAGTGGCCGATAATCTCCCTGCGTCCTTACGGTTTCCCGGCTCGCGGCCGATTTTGGCCAATCCGGGCGCCTTTTCGGTTAGCGGCGCAAATGTGACTGTGGTTTAAAGGGGAAGTATTTTTCCTGCACTTCACGAGGAAGTCGTTATGATGCCTCTCCACAAATCCAAGAAGGCGATAATATAGAATTGTTAATTCCGTTTAATGCTTCACTGATCTTTGTCTCAATCACCGAAGTAGAGAGTTTTTCGAAGCTTATAAAATATGGACTGTCATATAACACTTTCATAACTGATAATGGACGTATTTATCAAGTGATGAGATGTTGTGTTAGATCTTACCACCAGTATGCCAGGACAATGCTGAACGGGGCGGCACACACTATTTCTATGTATTTCCAGTGACGAATGAAATAGGCTATTCCAGACAAAATCACAAGACCAAGAGCGAAAAAGTACTCGCTGACAATCCCGGTAAACGTCCGCCTTGTTGGGCCGACAAGTTCCATTCCTGAGAAGTGACATAGAACAATAAAATATTTGCACAAAGAAACTGATTATAAAAAAAAATATCTTAGATTTATCCTTCAATTAAAGGGACATGTTCATTCGGAAAGAAATTACGCTCCGTTATAAAAATATAGAAAGGAAATCGATATTAGCATAATTTTATATGAGGTTACATATTCATCAATTATTGACCTCGATTTCCAAGTAAGTTGATATTTTGTACGCCATTGGCAATATCGACCAAAGACATAGACACATTTGTATATTATTCGTACAATATCCATACATGTTAATGGTAAATTCTCAGCATTTTGTCTGATCAATACCAATACCAGTGTGTTACAGCTCCTACCGACCATGTTTATTTTAATGCGTAATTTTGGTCAGTTTTGAAAATAATAACTTAAAGTAATGATGTTTGTTTTAACAATTATATAATTGTGCGTGAATGTGTGGGTGTATGTATGTCACTGATTAATTAATTTATAATACATAGCTTATTTACGTAGTTCTGCCATCACGAAATTTTGTTAAAAAAATATTATTGTACAGGGAAAGGGCTTGATATAAGTTGTAAAACTTGTGCCCAATTCCATTGCTATGTAAAAAGGCAATATTTTTTTATTTTTTTTTATATAATTAATCAATTCGGAATGATATGCAGACTTACTTATCTTAAATAAGATTCGTAGGTATAGTACAGAGTATGCTTAATGCTTACATATATAACAGAATCTGCACAGCTGTTGAATGTTTGTTTTCAGTATTAATTATCATTTAAATTGATGGCACTTGGAATGATATTGACTAACGCTGGATTGTTCTATTAATGAACGGGTAAAACTAATTGAACATCAGCATGAATAGACTTCATTACACCGACGTCGTTCATGACGTGTGGAAGTCAACATTCATACTCATACTGCATGAATGGAAAAATAAATCAGCTTCAATCGATATATGAACTTCCACCTCACCTATAACGAATCCAACGAGGAAGACGCCCTGAGTTGTCGCCCCTATGGCGGTCATAAACACGGCGAATGCAACATAGTTAGGACTGAACGCTAGTGCCAGGGTCGAGGCCAGCATAAGCACCACAGCTAAGTAGAATGTCTTTTTCCGTCCGATCCTGGAGAAACATAAGGCATATAATTAAATATTGTTACATAGATTGAGAATAGTTATCGATTTATTGTATCAGTTACCGAAATCAAGTTATTTAAATGGTAATTGGACTGATATCAAAATAAATTAAATGTTTTTTCGTTCCAATAAACTGTAACACATTCAATCTAGTTAGTGATATGTATTATTTGAATTAACCTCGTTTAAAGAGAATATCCCATTTTGAACTTTCATCTTGTACTTTAAACTTTGCTATTATCGATAGCCTAAGGACGGTTGTGCAATTACATGTAGCATTTAAGGATCCCCGTCCCAGCCAGAGCAAAACGCTAAAGAATTCCACTGTCGTTTTTCAGTGTTAGAGTCAACTGCCCCTGATTACCATTTTGACAATGTTGTTATCTTCCCTTGAATAGATTTCGTTTGAATGACGTTTCGACTACAGAGTTGTGTCCCTTGCGTTTAAAATCTCCAATCGCGAAAGTGTGGGCAAAAAAGCTGTCGTAACGATGTAAACAACGTCGTGGCAGTGATGGCCGACATGCAAGCCCGACGCAAAATCGGCCGTTTTAAATTTAATAACAACAACGATGTCCAATATCAACATGTAGACCACAACTATGCGACGAAACAAAGTGACACTCTTTCACAGATTGAAGAGACGCTGACTACTGAGGCCCCTACTACTGGAATTTTACTGATGAGCCGACAACGATCCCTCCAGTACTAGTGATCACGAATACGCCAATAACTGTTTAACCTGTCGCAGGGTAGACGAATGGTTGATCTCGCGGTGTTATCAGAATACCTGGACCAGAAAGGTTGTATTATTGTTGTATATAGTGTAATTTTTTATATCACAACATAGTATGTTATTTGTACATTATATAGAAATTTATTCTTCTTGTGTAAAGTCTGTGCAACTTTGTTATTGTTGTTCATTGTGACATTTTTGCTATGACACAGTAAAGTACGTTGTTATAATGTTATTCATACACAATGTGCAATTTGTTTTATATTGGTTATTTAGTAATTTTATTGATTGGGTTGCCTACTGTATTATATTTGTATATAAAAAGTGCCCTATTGTATGTTGTAAATTGTATATAGGACTTTTTGGGATTAGAATTATTATTGGTACAAATGGAAGAGTTGTCTCTCTTTTTTGTTTATTTTTTTTGTAACTTTATAATTTTTTGCATAATAAGCAAGTCCGCAAGATATTTATTTTTTGTCACCAACATTTTCTTTTCGTTGTCCTAAACGTGATGCATTGGCACCCGGAATTTTATCGATTCATGTAATGGGCATTTTTATTTGTTTTAGTATTACATGTATTGTTTGAAAATTACTCAGTTTTTTTGTGTTTTGTTCAAAAATATTGACATTGTTATTTTTTTATGTGTTATATTTCTAATTAACCATTGTTGCATTAAATAAAATGTATTTTGTTTCATTTTGTTCAATTGAAAAAAAAATCGAAAAAAAATTCAAATGTTTATAATTTCCCAAAAAATCTGAAGAAGCTCCCGTAAGGTATGGGTTTTTGTTCAGAAATGATTTTGTTATGCAATAGCGATACCGTAGGGGGAAAAAATGCCTCATTACATTTTTAGGCGGAGGGACGAGGATCCTTAACAGAATTTGCAAATTTTAACTACTTTTAGTCGAGTCGTCCGAGAAAAGCACGAATACATAACAATAATTCAAAGTTCTAATATACCGCTTCATCACAACCTAGTTCGTAGGTCGTCTCAAAGCCGTTCACAAATTATAATCCGTGGCTATAGGGCCTTAGCAACCAGCCAACATCTTTCTCAATTATATTGGGAGCATACAGCCGGAGCTGCCATTTCGGCGCTAATAGCTAGCATTCAACAATTCTAGCGCTGCCCAACCACGTACTCATTTACATCTGAGTACAAGCGGAGTAAAGTATCTTGTTCAAAGATACAAAACAGTGCCGTGACTCAAACACGCAACCCTTCGGTCACGAGCCCGGCGTCCTACCACTAGATTACCGTGCCTCCTTAATAAATACATATGGTGAAAACAGCAGTTTTTTGTAAATCATCTATCTACAGCTAGTGCAAACATAGTTACGATGTCAAAAAGATCACGTCCAAGAAAAGTGTCTTTTGATGACTCATTTAAGTAGACGTGAATATCTAATAAATATGTCTAAACTGATAGTGATTCGGCAAGGGTTCGTTATAAACTAGGTGATGAAATGGAAATTCTGTTATATCGATTTATCAACGTAAATTACCTCCACAAGACCAAGTCAGATAGGCAGAAAACTTACCCGTGTGATAGGCAGAAGACTTATCCGTCAGATAGGTAGTAGACTTACCCGTGAGATAGGCAAAATACTTAAAAGTCAGATTGGCAGTAGACTAACCAGTCAGATTAGCAGTAGACTAACCCGTCAGATAGACAGTAGATTTACCTGGCAGATAGGCAGAAGACTTATCCATCAGACAGGCAGTATACCTACTCGTCAGATGGGCAGTAAACGTATCCTTAAGATAGGCAGTATACTTATCCGTCAGATAGACAGTTGACTTACCCGTCAGATAAGTAGTAGATTTACCCGTTAGATAGTCAGTAGACTTAACCGTCAGACAGGCAGTAGACTTACCCTTCTGATAGGCAGTAATCGTAACCCTCAGATAGGCAGTAGGCTTACCCTTTTGATTGGCAGTATATTTACCCGTCAGAAAGGCAGTAGACTTACCCGTCAGGTAGGCAGTAGACTTACCCTTTAGATTGGTAGTATATTTACCCGACAGATAGGCAGTAGACGTACACGTTAGATAGACACTAGCCTTTTCCGTCAGATAGGTGGTAGACTTACCAGTCAGATAGGCAGAAGACTTAACAGTCAGATAGGCAGTAGACGTACCCGTCAGATAGGCAGTAAACGTAACCCTCAAATAGGTAGTAGACGTACCCGTCAGATAGATAGTAGACTTACCCCTCAGACAGGCAGTATACTTACCCGTCAGATAGGTGGTAGATGTACCCGTTAGATATGCAGTAGACTTACCCGTAAGTTAGGCAGAAGACTTATCCGTCAGATAGTCAGTATACCTACCCGTCAGATATGTAGTAGACTTATCCGTCAGATTGGCGGTATACCTACCCATCAGATAGGTAGAGTCTAACCGGTCAGATAGGCAGTAGACTTACCCGTCAGATAGGCAGTAGACTTACCCGTCAGATAGGCAGTAGACTTACCCGTCAGATAGGCAGTAGACTTACCCGTCAGATAGGCAGGAGACTTACCCGTCAGATAGGCAGGAATGTTCCCCGGCAGATAGGTATTAAACTTACCAGTCAGATAGGCAGACGACTTATCCGTCAGACAGGCAGACGACTTATCCGTCAGACAGGCAGTATACTTACCCGTCTGATAGGCAGTTGACTTTCCCGTCAGATAGACAGTAGACTTACCCGTCTGATAGGCAGTAGACTTACCCGTTGACTTACCGTCAGATAGGAAGAAGACTTACCCGTCTGATAAGTTACCAAAGCTGAATGCGCCTATCAGAATCCCGACGAAAAATAAGGACTTTGCCAAAGAAGGCTTACTGGAATCATCACAGACGAGGTTATGCTGCAATAAGTCACAATCAGAGATACATTGAAAAAGCAAAATAAGAAAAAATTAACTAGCTAAACAAATCTATCAATTTCGTTCTGATATTTAATTATTAAATTATAATGACTGTAACAAATTTCAATGCATACATTTAACTATACATATATTCCATAGTCATACACATGTTATTATCAAAAATGCCTGCCACACGCGGTAACCAATACCCTGGTTATGATATTATATGATATGAATTGTAAAATACTAGCTCTTCCAACCTCTCACCTGATTGGCATTGGCATTTGGAGACACGTAACATGATTGCATGGTGTAGATAGGCCAAAAGACACGTGTGATCAACGTAATGTTTCATTTGTTCATTATGAAAGAAACATAGTTCCTTAAACTGTAGTCTGACAAAATAATCTTTATCCCCGGGATATAGCATCCACTATCACTTATGACGATAGCATTTATGCTCGTATTACTTATCTTTATGGATGTTACGACACTGAGATAATAAAACAAAGGATAAATTTTGCATATGATTTAAACATACCCGATTGGACAATTTTGTTTTAAGCAGGAAAACAAATTGAATTTGTATTTTTGTAATTAAGATAGGTATTGTGTTGTTATCATGTTAAACAGATTTATCTAATAAAACCGGATATACTATAGACTCAATTATACCGTAAACTATGAAAATACTACCTTTGATGTAAATGTTTCTTTGAACACCTCATCACTATAAACCCATTCAGTACACTGTATTTTCGTGGCATTGATTGGATGACTAGAGTTGTCGAACGTGATTGATGTGAGGTTGAATGTAAACAGATGGCACTGATCATATGTGTGGGTCTCATCCGATGGTGGAGGTATCTGATTGTTGATGAGCGTAAGGTGATAGTCACTTTGGACACGATATGTGTCATTATCATAACCTGGTATCTTACACCTGAAAAGATATGCAGAGCAAGTGTAATCAACAAACATGGGTCAAGTACATTATCGTCTCTGTGGATAGAATACCGTACATGAATCGAAGATCAATGTGCAGCAGTTGATGTAATCTCGTGACAGTTATCTAAATGTCGTATACAAACTGATTTTCTCGGGGGAGAAAAGTTGGCAGAGACTTGTTTAAAACTTTCTTGCAATGTTGTGCCAACTAAGGTGATGATTGATTGATGTAAAGGACGTCATTTCTGTTTCTAGAACTCATGTTAAGTCACATATTATCTGCAAGTAGGATAATATAACTTGATATTATGCCTGCGGATGGGTAATCATAAACAAACCCAGAATGTTTTCTTTTAAGGGGAATACAATATTATTTACATTAAAGTCACATGCATGTTGTTTTACATTATTCAAAATTAACAGTTGTATGATAGCATATCTTGTATTGTATTGTTTATTCAACTTGAAGCCTTACGGCTCATAAGCATTCACAGATACATCAGTGATATGAAATGCCAAATAATTATAACATCATGAATGAAGCATAATCTTGTACATCGCATATATATATAGTACCTTTAAATGGACAGTATAATTCTTTAAATTATTATAAAGTACTAGATAAATAAATTATCGGAAGATGGACAGCTCTTGTAAAATTTCTTCACCTAAGTTTACCGTGGCTATCGGATAACAGATGAGGTGACAACATTTTCTTAGCTTAATATCAACCGGCCGGGCTCACCAAAGAATATGTTAATTACAAAAACAAAAAACAGGCTTACAATTTGTATACAGTGGTGTAGTCAGGGGATGGACAAAACAATACGTGTAAACCTGGAAATAAACAAGTACTCATATGTTATCAATCAGAGTGAGAAAAAACACAATAACCTAACGTTGGAATCTAGACCGTTCTTATCAACTTGATTGCAGATACTTTCCTAGATTACACAGCACCTAAGGCGTTAACAATGCACGAGATGACTTCAGACACAAGCGGTCAAATCGATCACGCTTAATTAAGTACCTGATAACAGATGAGCGAGGGTCTTAACGACTATTTTTAAACAAACCCAAAGAAAATGTTTCCAACAAACAAAATGAGACGACTCAATGATAATAACCATGATATAACACGATGTCTATAATACAGGTATCCTTCAGTTGTAGCTCACCTGTGATCTGGCGCCTCAAGGAGCATTGCCGATATAACAGCAAACAATCCGACACAAACGGAGGCTACACATATCAGGAAATACAAAATCTTTGTAATGGTTCCCGAACAGTATTTTCTATATTACCTTATGAATATATCATGTGTACAGATGTCCCACGTTAATAAATATTTCAAAACAGTATTTGTCTGATAACGTCAACTTGATATCAACCATAGTACAGTTGTATAAGTAAAGATGTAAAAGAAATGCAACAGAGTTCGTTTCCAGCATGACAATTAAGTACACATGTCAAAAAGTTCCAAACAATGAAAATTTACCTCAAAAACAACAAAACATAATCAAAATATACTTTAAAAGAACGATAAAACCAGAAACTTTGTATGCATATCATATGCTGACTTACTTAGGGATATTTACTTAATAAAGTATCGTACAAAAATGAATACACAATTTCACTGAAGAGATCAGGTAATCATTTACCTGTGTTCCGGTGCACCAAGAAGAAATGCTGATATAACTGCAAAGAAACCAACAAATGTTGATGCAAGACAAATGAGGAAGTACAACCTCTTCTGGTAACGACCAAATACCCCCAGTGTTTCTAGAATTGCATCAAAATCCATGGTTGTAGAATGATACTTTGTAAAGTATTAGAGAACAGAGTACTGTGGAAACTGACCAAGGATATGACCAAGGCAAGGACGGTGAAACTGACCAAGGATATGACCAAGGCAAGGACGGTGAAACTGGTTAATCACTGATAACAGGGTCACAGTATGGTAGACTAGCTATTCTGGAATTTGATTTATATACTGTATAAACAAAACATTAAAAGGTAGACTCTAGTGATAGGTGTGTTATCAATGACACAGTTGTTATACATCTTCAGATTATACATGTATATTATACACATTTAAGGATTATCTTTTAACTTTGTTTATAATAAATCAAGTCGAGCACGCGGTAAATTCGCGTTCTTGTGTAATTTACAGCGTGCTCGACTTGATCTATTACCTCATAAACAAAGAAAAGATAAAAGATAATCCTTTTATTTACAGTTTATTTACCTTCAAAACAATCCATAAAGAAAGCCGTTAGTTACGCCATTTCAAAGTTATTGAATACGAAAGTGAAAATGACGATGCATTCGTTTGAAGGCGGGAACAGCTGCTCAGACAGCTAGGCTCCGCCCACTTTCCCCCCTTCGAAACAAAACAAAATAAATCTTCTATTGCAACTCTTTAATTTAATTCTTTGAAAAAATATGCATCTTAAAAATGTAACAGTTTGTGTGCTACAATAATATCTTCATGATTTTTATTATAAAAATCCAATTGTTTCGTAACAAACACACAAAACTTAACAAGACGCGGATGTAGAATGTCAGTTTTACTGTGATGCAGCTTCGCCGACGAGGTGGGAAATGAACTGAGCCTACATTTTAATGTTAAACGTGCAATTTCCAAAACTCGAGTTTGTAAGCATCCCTGACGTCGATTGCACATTTGAGGAGAGAAATGATGGTAAATTTGGACGGGTTACTGTCGAATTATTTTGGACAACAGACATAGGATTTGTGTCAATTGCCGAGATAGAATGTCGTGGCTTTATTAGTATCGGCCACAATAAATACGCCATAGGGGAATTTACGCAATAAATACGCCATAGGAGCTTTTGAACGCCATAGCAAAATGTAAGAGTTATTTTCACGAAATAGTTCGAATTTTACATTAATATACTCATTTGACACGTTTAGGTAAAGTATCATTGACAAAAATGTGTACTTTGTTAGAAAATCGATCTTAATTACGAAGCACTTTACACTAAAATACGCCATACGTGTTTTTTCACGCCATAGCAAAATTTAAGAATTATTTTCAGCAAATAACTGTGGTATATGCCTTAGACAGGTTGTGGTAAAGTTTCATTTAAAAAAAATGTGTTTTTTGTTATGAAATCGACAAAAAAATGTATCGCGATTTAGAAGTCAATTTCAAGGGAAGTAACTCTTACATTTGCAAAATTCGCCATAGCAATGAATAAGTCAATACTGGTACTAGACTGGAAACACGATTTATTTGTGAATGTAAACATGGAATAAATTACAGACAAATCTGAACAGAAATTAATTACAATTTAACATGGTTTAGAAATTTCATATAAATTTTAGAATTTATTTACAACAGTTTATTTATTACACCTACTTAAATAATAATCACAATCACAAAAACATTAAAGACAATAAAACATTTTTTTAAATATCAATAATATATATTAATTATATTGAATGAAAATATTAATTAATTACACATGTACAACACAATTTATTTATGTGTGCAAACATAGAATAATTTACACACAGCTCTGCAACAGAAATTAATTAAAATTCAAAATGATTAGACATGAACATATTTTATGTAAATCTCACACATTTTAGAAATTATTTTTCCAATACTTTATTACATACTCTTACATTAAAAAACATTAAAGGGAATAAAACATAAAGATCTGAAATGGAATTATTAATTACACTTAAATATTTCAGCAGTTCTATTTTTAATACAATCAATAAAATTCTGCAAAAAAGAAACAAATCTTCAATCTTTAGGTACAGACATTAAGCACATGGATCATATATTAAGATGAAAAATGCAAACATATATGTATTCAAATCTTTATTAAATTCAACAATCATACATCTAAATCTACACAGAACATGGGAATATAGAACACATTATTGCACACAATGTAATACATGAAAGCAAGTTTAACAATTTCAAAACTAATAATACATACATCCTACAAATTGTTAACATCTGAAAAATGGTCGTCTAAGAGCATGGAACTGGGTCCGGAGTCCTTACTATGTCACGGTCATAGTCTTGTTGGAATTTTACTCGCAGCTTGATGCAGTTGAGTCTGGTCATCATGAGTCGGTTAATCTTGTTTCGTTGTTTTTCCAAAGAAGTCGCTGTCAGGCCTGGGGACTTGTCAAAGTTTCCACGTGGCACCATCCCTGCAAAGCACACCTCCTTGATTCCAGCATGATGTAGGTCCATTTATAGTCTCAGGAGTGTCTGGAAAATGTCATTCGGGATGATGTCGCTGAAATGTCGTTTCCTCCTAGTTGGATAACTACAATATCAGGTTTGTAGGCAGTCAGGTCCACCAGTAGATGTCTCGGGATCGAATACAATTTGTATGCACGCATGCCGCCTTTGCCGAAGAATCGGACAGTGCCGTTAAAGCTCAGTAGATACCGGACAAACAATGGATGGAGTTCTATGCTTTACCCGGTAGTATTACAGATGAGACAAAGTTACAAAATTTCCAGTTTAAAATTTTGCGTAGAATTTTATATATTGTACTAACACAAAATTAATGCGATGTAAAATAGTTGACATTGAAAGGTGCACCTTCTGCCATGATGGAAGGGAAACAACTCTTCACTAGCTCTGGGAATGTAGCTGTGTCAGGTCTTTTTTGTATCATATTATTCAACTGATTGAAGACATCCATGGTGTAATACTTCCTCGCCATCCTATGTCTGTTGTCTTGGGTATTTGTGATATTGACTTCAAATATGAAATCAATTACTTATTGCTTGTACTAAAAATGTTCATTTATCATTGCAAATAGAGAAGAATTGTACCAACAATTGCCATTGGGAAAACGTACATTTTATATTATAAAAGGATAGAAAAGAATGGTTTATACAACTATACAAAAAGAAAACAAGAATATATAATAAAGAAGTGGGATTTTATTGATACCATACTTGCTCGTATGTAAATGATGTGACAGCAATATGATCTCAATATATACATAAGTTCGGGTAGAGAGAGTGAGTGAGCATATACTCTGTACACATGTCAAGTCATTTGATCAAAATAAAATGAGAATGCAAAACAGTTACATGTTATGAACTGANGATCGCTTATTAATATCAGTTCAAAGTCTCAGTAGTAAGCAGAGTGAATACAAAATATTGGTAAGATAACATGTAATCAAGTGATCCTTTTTCTCGTCCCAAGTCTAAATTCAAACTAGCTACAAATTTGTTTTTGTTAGCTGAGAATTTAATGACAACGAATGTATATCAATTGTGAGGTACTACCACCGAGTTTATACTTATGCTATATATATAAATGATATATGGCGAAATCGAAAGTCGTGTCCCGGTAAAATGAGCGCCGACATGTTGTTTTTTGGGCACTAAGATCAGCGGGTAAAAATTGGGACGGCAACTTGTACCATCCTTTATTCACACTTACTGATTGTTACGATAAAAATACATCTGTAGGTTCTGGATTTCGATTCTATCATGGCAACCTGCAAAATATTTTTCTTCATCTTCACTGTCTCCTTCTTGTCGACTTTGCAAACCGGAAACGTTGATATTATTCCGCATTGAATATATATTAAACGCAAGTTACATTTTGAAATAATATGCTATAAGTTTCAATCAAATATCCCATTAAACACAATTAATATAGGAATAATATATTGGTACAGGACTAGTACAAACAAACAAGTATTAAAAAATATCTATTTCCGCTGGATTACTTCCGGCAATGCACATTTTTCTATTCAAGTCTTCAACAGAGCAGTCGACATTTTTTTTTTAGATGCTGGTTTTCTTCTAAAAGACCGGGATTCATTTCAATTTAGCCATATTTATATAGAAATTTTGTTTATATGGCCGTAATAAGAATATCGCTTTATTCTTTTAGAAGAAATAGAATGAATAACTTAGTAAAACTTCGACTGGTCGACCAACAGGAAAGAATGGGGTTGTCATGGAAAAAGCTTATTTTAAAATTTTTAAAACATTTTTATATAAGGCCACAGTGTTGCAATTAAGATATAAAGGAAATATATTATGAAGGTAAGTAATAAGTTTTTTACTCCCAAATGTAAGTAAAATTCAACGGAAGTTGTATCGAAGCAAAGAACCATTATTCCTAGACAACGTGTTTTTGCTTTGACTCAATTTTAGTACGAACAGTATATGAGCTTGATACCCATCTATTTTTATAAGCACATATTTGTCCAACAGGAAATACCCAAACAATATCCATTGATACATTTGTTGGCGGGTAAAACCAGGAGATCGAATACATAACTGACAAGGTGCATGCATCATATAGGCATATATATGACTGTTGCTGGGTTGAAAAGATAATTTATTACATGATACGTCATACGCTTCAATATGTATAAGAAAGAAACTCACTGGAAACCTAAACGTTGATTTGGTTTACCTGTGGCAAGTATTCTGTGCTGCGGAGTAAACGAAAATCAATTTCAGTTGGACGTCCCAAGTATTTATTCAAAGCATTTATGTCTAACAGTGATTTAACTATGGCAATCTGCCGGTGTCGGGTTATCAGAAAGTATACATTCAAATCCGAACCACGTCCTTTGGTACAGCATACATGTAATAAAAGGAATGCCACAAAACACAGAATCAGACAATTACCAAATGGACCCATTTGCTTTAAAATTAGTAAAATAAAAAATGTCAACATTAACGGTTACAGAATGATAAATATGAACTGTTTCCAGAATGTAATGAATGCTGTACCTAAACATGTTATGCCGTGTGATAAAGCTTAGCAGTTAGTGCTGGAAAACCAGGCTCCCGTAAAAGAAATTTCAGAGCTTATGAACTATGGACTAGCCTGTGTTTTATTACTGAAATGTTGTGGATGTAGTGAAACATTTAAATTTGAAACAGGTCTAAAGTTACCAGTTAGTGATGAAAATTCCAGGTTTAGATCTAGGTATGATGTCAACGTTAGAGCTGTGTGGGGAAGTGTATGTACAGGAAACGGGGCTTCGCACCTTAATGAAATTCTTACATGGTACATGGTGGGCAATGGAGGTTGAAAAAGAGCTTTTAGAAGCGGGGACAAACTAGAGAAGAACTGCAATAGAAAAGGGTCAATTTCATGATGGTGTATCATGTATTACAGTAATTGCAGATGGGGGATGGAGTAAGAGGAGTGACAAACAAAGCTACAATGCCTTAGGAGGTGTATGTGTTATTAAAGGTAAAGAAACTGGTAATATCTTACTTAGGTAT